TGAGAAACAAAGGTATTTTATCGGCCCGAACCCGCCCGAAACCCGACCGAACCCGAATTGGCATGGACCCGAACTTCCCCCGAACCCGAACTGTATATTACGGGGAATTATATTATAATCCGATACCCGATCGGGTTTGTCGGTTTATAGTCCGATCCGACCCGATACGACCCGTGCTCACCCCTACATACCTGTTCATCAGAGTCAGAGGCGGATTCTGCATTGGACGTGGCTATGAGACAAATGAGTGCCTTATCTTCTTCATCAGACGAAGAATCAGACACCCAATTTTCCTTTTCATCCATCAGGCTTCGCTTCTTCAGATTGTACTTATATTTATTTTTGTAGTAATTCACATCCTTCACCAAGCGTCCTCTGCATTCTTTTGAGAAATGACCTATCTTTCCGCATCTGTAGCAGCAGAGATCATTTTTCCTTCCCTCTCTATCTTCTCTTTTCTCTTCTCTTTCTTCCTTTCCTTATCTTCTTTCTTCCCTCTGATGGAACTTCATAGGCTTCTGATCATATGAGGGCTGGAACTTCTCCCTTCTGGAGTCTCTACTTTCATATGTCTTCTTAACGAACTTCTTCTGGAACTGTTTTGTTATCAAGGCCAGAGACTTGGCAAAGGCTTGAGATCATCATCAGAATCGGATTTCTCGTCTTCAGATTCTGATTCTACTACGAATGCCTTCTTTTTCCTCCTGTGGTCTCTGGTGGAGGTCCATGAAATATTCTTTTCTTCTGCAGCAAGGGCAAGAGGTCCACCGATGGACACTTTTCTCTTCATAATGTCCTTTTCTTGTGCAGCAAGTGTTCCATAGACATCATGAAGTGACCAGCTGTCTAAGTCCTGATTTGCTTGGAGGGACATCAACAGCTGAGTCCACTCATCACCGAGACTCTTAAGAAATAAAACATTATTTTCTTCCCTCGTCCTGGAGATGTCGTTTCGGCGACATTGATTGATCAATGTGTTGAAAGATTTCATTGGGAATGGCCATTATGATCAATCTTTTGGCTTTTTTGTCTGCCTCTACACGTTCCAGGTCATGCTCGTCCCAATTCTTCTCGTCCTTGGGCATGAAGTAATCAACAACTTCTGTTGTTGTGCTCGTTCCTAGGACTCTTGGAACAAGAGTCTGAGAAATGTAGGGACCCTCCATGACAGATCTGAGAAGATTCCTGTCCATCCCGTCCAGAAAGTTCACCATCCCGATCTTCTATTGCGGATACTCTTCTCTTTGAAGAGTTGGAGGCTTGGTGAGGGAACCTACACTATATGCAGAATTCCAGTTGGCCATTGAAGATTTTGAAGAGAGAAAATGTGCTTTTTAGATAAGATGAGTATGAACCCGAAAATGGATGGTAAAAACGAATTGAGAGATTTTAAATGTGATAGATTTGATTGAAGAACAATCAATTGGCTCTGATACCAATTATTAAACCCATATCTGATAGTAGAACAATTTAACAAGAATATAAAATGAGAGATTTGTAGAAGAAGATGAATAGAAATTGGCCGCCGCTTTCTTTATTGAATACAAACTCTCTCAAAAACCCTAATCGACTCTCATATGATGTGTTTGAATCTGTGTGTTACAAAGTGTTGATCATTCATCTCACTTCTATTTTATGCCTGTATCACTTCTTATATAGGCGATATTTACATGATAACTGAATCCTATAAATAAGGTAACTAAATCCGATAAATAAGGAAATAATCATTATCGAAAATGGGATCAGCACCATCCTTCAAGATTCTGAAGATAGTCATCTAGAGCATAGACCAACCAGAGGGGTTATGTAGATGCGCAGTTCATCGCACATATGGACGTTCATCGCACCTCTGGTCGTCCATATGGGCTCTGGTCGTCCATAGGGGCTCTGGTCGTCCATAGGGGCTCTGGTCCTAAAGGAATTAGAGTCCAGAGTCTCTGGTCAATACAACCAGAGGCTCTGGTCGTTCATAGGGGCTCTGGTCTTCTTCCAGACTTAGTCGTTTTAGCACAGCAGCATCTTCAGATCTTCCATCCTTGGCCCCGATTTCTTTGATAAAACTTTTAGAATAATTAGGATCAAATGTGGTCCTAACAATCTCCCCCCAAAGTTTTATGAAGCAAGCATCCTCATGAAGCCTTCAGGTTTTCTCCTCTCTGCTTTCTTCAATAAAGTTTTAGTGTGCTTGGTATGGATGGAATAAAGCTCCCCCTGAATGTAGCTCTCTAATCTTCATTTTCAACTCTTAGACCAAATCAGATTCAATGTGAATGCAGCACCACTGATTGCACATAGTGCAACTTTAATCAGCCTACAACCCAGCACATACTTTGAAGCACAGAATAGCTACTCAACCCCAAAAGTAGCAAATTCATCCAACTAAGGGATAGATAAATGTGTGAATTTCTTGACAAAACAGTGCAACCAGTCTTATGACAAAGAATCTTTCGTTGAACCACAAGTTTAGTAGGAATTTAGCTTTAGAGCTTAATCCAATTGGAGATAACTTGAATAACCAAAGCAAACACCATTGGAATTGAGAACTAGAGAGAAGAATTAAAATTAAGCTTTATGGCTTCAAGAAACAACAGGTCAATTCAAAGAAAATTGACAGTATTGCTGTTGATGCTTCTAAGGGTAAAACATGAAGGAATATCGCCATATTCATATAGGATTGGTGATTGTAGGTAAATAAATCTTTAAGCTCTTACAGATTCAGATTTACAAGGAGAGACGATGAACAAATACTCAAGATATGGGCGATAACTATAGGTTTGACAAACAAAACGCCAATTGCCTTAGGCTGTGAGCACCATGAACTCCTGTTTAACGCCTGCGCGTAGATCTGACAAAATCAAGGTTCAAAAGTTCGACTGACTCCAAGGAACTCCATCAAATAAACCAAATTTTTATGATCAAAATAGGTTCGTATTCATCCAAGAACAAATCCCTTAAAAGGAATTTGATTAAAACATTTAATCATATGATGAATCGATGAATTTTGGGTCCAAACTACAGTCGAACATGAAGCAGTTTATTAAAAAGTATTGTTCAAGAAATTTGAATCTACTGCAGGAAGATCGAATTGGTAGAAGTTAATCGATTTGGCTCTGACACCAATTGTTGATCTCAGATCTCTTAATAACACTAATACTTAAGTTATGAATAACCTAAATATGTCGTGTGAATGAATAAAATGAGGAGCACTCAAGAACACAAGATGAATATTCAAGAATATACTAAGTGCCGAATGATTCACTTTATTCCAAATGATTATGTGAAAACCGTAACCGATTACAAGAGAGCTAATGCCTATTTATACTAGAAAGCTAATTAAGGAGATTGCTATCTATGGAAGATATTTAGCAAATCTCTTATAGAAAGGAAATCTATCTAGACATGGAAAGTAAATAAAGCAAAGTAAATCTTTTGGAGAATCCAACTGTCGATTAGTCATCTCCAGCTGTCTTCTATGGAGCGTTGTTCAACCAAGTCTAGATATCATCTTCATCGGGTGCCTCTGATTGAACTGTTGTGGAAGACTCCAAGTGTTGGTAACCAGAGGGATTATGAAGATGCGCAGTTCATCGCATCTCTGGTCGTTCATCGGCCTTCTGGTTGTATTGGACACTTAGTCGTTTTTCCTGGAAGTCTTCCATCGGCCTTCTGCTCTCACACTTGTTGTTTTTCATTACTTTTACAAATATGAGTTATGGGGTCTAACAGTGTGTGTTTTGTGTTACGCCAGGGGGCGGGGAACTCTATTTGGGATGAAGATGAGATGAATGTGTCTATACACACATATTCACACACACACACACACAGATATATATATATACATATATATACACATATATACATATATATATACACATATATATATATATATACATACATATATATATACATATATATACATATACATACATATATATATACATATGTATATACATATTATATATATACACATATATATATATATACACACAATGTTAGGTTCTAATAAGAAATCCAGAAGTTATAAGAATTAGAGAAGTAATATCAATCATTAGTTTAAAATTTTTATTTACAAGTCTTTTTTTATTAAATAAGATAATTATGGAAAAAAAATCAAATATCCTAATTTACCTCTTATTTTTTTTATAACATATTTGAATATTGATAATTATTGATTTTTATATCAAATTTCCACTTTGAAAAATCATTGGCAATTTTCAATCTACAAATGGAATTAATATCATTTGCCTAAATATTGCCCTGCCTACCTAGGCATGCATACCCAAAAACCAATTAATTCATCTCATTGGCTCTCATATATGAACACAAACATCGATGTTTCATTGGTTCATGATATCAAGAATAACACAAGTAAACCGTGACACAGTTATGGTGCAAGTGCACACCACTATTGAGTTTACTTTTTCAAGTAATACAAAGCTAAGTACTGAAGATCGTTTTGTACAGAGACTAGTCTACTAATAATTAGAGATTTTTACGAACTTCCAATGCAAAGTTTAGAGTTCATAGAAATAATTTGTTGTTGGTAGAATATTGATGCTTTAAGAAAATAACAGTTAATAAAAACCGAGTATGAGTGTAAGTTTTCTACGAGAGTATAATAGTAACTTAAATGGTTGATAAAACTGATCACAAAATAATCCCATTCGATTTTCTCCTCTCGAAGCTACGTCGTATAGAATGCAATTCCGATTTTCTCATAAAGTTTCCACAAATGCTAACTTTTGGTTTACCCATCATACTAAGTAGATCTCGAAGATCTTAGGGGGCATTTGGAATGGTCAATTATGTTGACCAAATTCCATTCCAACATTTGATTTCCCATGGAATGGAATTGAATTCCAAAGATTTCCAATTTAAGGAATTCACCATTCTTTACTAGATCTTATTTAATTGAAATCCATTCCATCGAAAAGTGTCTAAATGACATAAATACCCTCATTCGCTCAAACAAAAGAATCGATGCTTTCATCAAAGACTTTGAACTGCTACCAAAATAATCGCATGAACTGCTATCAAAATCATCGCACAAACTGCTTTCAGGTATCGATAGAACTACTTTCGATTTCTGTTTGCTTCTTTCTGATTTGTGCTACTTGTTTCTGATTTCTTTTTGCTTTTGATTTTTGTTTGCTTCCTTCGATTTCTGTTTGCTTTCAGGCTTCGATTTCACCGGAATCTTTCTGATTTGTGCTACTTCTTTTGTCGAACTGCTACCAAAATCATCGCATGAACTGCTTTTGACAAATACTACTTTCAGGTATCGATCGAACTGCTACTTGTTTCTTCGATTTCTGCTACTTGTTTCTTCGATTTCTGCTTCCTATTTCTGGTTTCTGCTACTTCTTTCATTGATTTCTGATACTTCTTTCTTTAATGCAATTTTCAGTCTTATGGCACGGCAAGAAATTTCTTCCTACAGTTTGCTACCTGCTACGGCAGAAAATTGCTTCCGAATGCAATTTCTGCTACTATTTGCTACCTGCTACGGCAAGAAATATCTGCTACTGTTTGAAAGATGCAATTTTCTGCTACTGTTTGCTACCTGCTACTGTTTGCAATTTTGAAAGTTGTTTGCTTCAATTTTCTGCAAAATACACATCAATTGAAAGTTGTATCAATTTGAAAGTTGTTTGCTTTAATTTTTTAAAAATGCAAATTCTGCTACTGTTTGCTACTGTTTAAGATTTTCTGTTTGCTTTCTATTTTATGGTAGGAGGCAGAGGCACCAGCACCCACTACCATTTTCTTGTTTACAAAAACATAATTCTTAGCAGAAATGTGATTTCTCAATTTGTTACTTCTTAATGCAAAGGACTACATGTGTTCGTGTATATATATGCATACAATGAAAAAGACTTCCACAAAAGGGATTTTCTCGGTTTGTTAATAACTTTTGTTTTTGGAACAGGAAATGGCCTGACTTAGTTTAGTAACAAGACCTAAACGTAGGCTTATTAGATTGTTCTAGAACGAAGATATGATTTCTATCATTTGGTATTTCACTATGATTTTCAAATTAATAGCCAACTACCAAACTAATAAACCACGTATTCAATATTCTTTGTTACATGTGGATCGACATTCAATATTACATAGGTATGCTTATGAGAGTGATACTATTTGCATATCACATCTTAGGATGAATAGAAGGTGTTTTAGTAAGTTATATGATATGCTTGAAACTTTAGGAGGATTGCAAGCAAGTAGGAATATGGGTATTGATGAACAAGTTGTCATCTTTCTTCACATTATTGCTCATAATGTTAAGAATTGAGTAATGGCATGTTGTTTTCGTCGTTGGGAGAAACCATTAGTAGAGTTTTTAGGAGAGTTTGCAATGCAGTGATAAAATTACATCCACATTTGTTTAAGAAACCTGAACCTGTTCTTGCGGACTCCACCGATGGAAAGGGTATTTTTGTCTTTTCCATCATTCCATTCTAATTTTGTTGCAAACCAAACAAGCAGATTCCAATTCATTAGACAAATTAAATTCTATTCCTGCCAACCAAACATTTGGTCAAATCTGACAACATTCCATTATAATTCCTTCTAAATTCCAATTTATTTGACAGATTACATTTCTTCATAAATCATTTTGTGAACCAAACGCTCCCTTAGTTCCATCAGTATAAAGAGATGCACATATCATTATGACATACCAACTCGACCAACATCTAAACCTTAGTTCGGTTACGCAATAACCCATATCTCTATTATTGAAGATTTTCTCAAACCTCCTTGCATCATTCAAGTTGTATTTTGGATCTGCTCATCTCTGGTTCATAGATCTAATATTAACACTTACAAGTGATTAACTTTTCCGCATTGAGTAAAAGTTTCAACTCGAGTAACCAAACAGAAGAGTTAGCAAAAAGTGGTAACACCCAAGTGCTACATTTTGACCTCTCGGGTTTGGCTTACACCCACACCTAGGGGTGGTGTAGCTACTGCTTATAAGTAAAAACATGATACAAGAACAAAAATACTCGAACAAGGGTTGCATTAAACGTAAACTTGCCACTGTGCTAAGAACCTACAGTGGTGAACATAAAGTAAATTGCAGGAAATTAAACTAATTAAAGAGAAAATACAAGAACATGTGTATGATGCATGTGATGTTCAAAATGAATTGCTTTAGCCCTCTTTACATAGGCAAGGAAGAGAGAGAGAGCATGAAAGAGACTTGAGATGGAAGAAAGTGATAAATCATTGGTGTCTTTTTCTCCAAGCTTGTCTTATCTTCATTGTCCTCTTTCTATTCACGTCTATGAAAGCTTCAGGTATGACCAAGGTTGGATTCTGCATTATTTTTTACATATTTGACAATAAATCTTCAATAAGGATTTCTTGCAGCTACAGCTTGTCACTGTTGATGCACCGGCTCCAAAAATGACACATACACTAATCAAAATATAAACTTTTATCCTCAAGAACTCCAAATGAAGGGGGGGGGGGGGGGGACATGAATACATAGAGGGAAAACACACACTAAAAGGGAATAAAAAGACACTCTAACAAAGTCTATATAACACTTAAAATGAGAGTTATCAGTTCACATGTGAACATGTGAATCCTAATATAGGTTCACATGTGAATTTTGTTCATAACTCGTACGTGAATCAATTTAACACTAATAACTAAGATTCTGAATTAGTTTAAGATTCACATATAAATACTTGAATTAAATTATCATTGATTATATTTTATATAATTTAACTTCAAAAGAAAACGGATAATCTAATTTTATTTAAAAAAGTGGTTAGTTTTTTTTAGCAAAGAGTTGATGAGTGGGTTTAATTATACAAAAGCTTTAAAATACTCACTCCACTTTTTTAGTTTTTTTAAAATTAGTGACATTTTTTCCTGTATTTATATAATTTTCTTTTAAGATCTTGACATTGAAAAATCTTATCTAATAGTTAAGATCTCTCCTTAACTTCTAAAAATTTCAGTTCTCTCTTAAACTCTCATATATATATATATATATATATATATATATATATATATATATATAGACAGATAAGCGATCAAATGAAAACCGTTCTCATTTGTGTAAACCATATAAACCAATCTTATCTATCCATTTTTTTGATCAATGGTCAAGATTAGTTTATGTTATACTAGGAAATTAAAAATAATAAATTTTATGATCCTTATAAGGGCAAAATGGTAACTTTGTTAGTGGTTTTATTAATGACAACCATATCATGTATATCGTAATATTTATGAAACAAAATCATTTTTAAATAATATATTAATTTTATGTTCAAATATTATAAATAAAATTACATCCATCATTAAAATAGATCAACAATAAAAATAAAACACACTATAATCAATTTAACATAATGAAACCTTTTGAATAATAATAATAAAAAAAATTTACTACTACATTTCATGAACGAAATGGTTTCACAGTTTCATCAATATACAAATCAACGTAATGCTAGATGAGATATTTGTCATTTTCATGTTATTGGTAGATAGATCCGTTTCATTTTGATAATAAAATTGTTTCATTGTTCACTAATTACACAAAATTTTCTTAGAAACGATGAAATGGTTTCACTTTCTTCAATCACCCATTTCATCGGTCAGCATGGTTTGATGACTCATTTTTTATTTCGTGCTATTGATAATGAAATTGTTTCACTTTTCGCTAATTATACAGGCTTTTCTTATCTTTTTTGAAATGGTTTCCTTCACGCATCCATATCATCATGCACCTATTTCCTCATGCGCTCATTTCATAATCATTCACTTATTCTATATACCAATTTCACCATGTATGAAGCCGGTTTCATCATGCACCCATTCAATAGTCATTTTCACTTATTTCATGCATCAATTTCACCATGTATGAAACCGGTTTCATCATGCACTCATTCAATAATCACTTTCACTTACTCCATGCACCAATTTCACCATGTATGAAACCGGTTTCATCATGCACCCATTCAATAATCATTTTCACTTACTCCATGCACCAATTTCACCATGTATGAAACCGGTTTCATGAATATTTTTTTATTCAACTACTGATTTCATTGATTTATTACTCTAATAACTTACGATTTTCATGAATTTTGGCAATAATAAATCGAGACAAAATATAACAAAATCTAATTTTTAATATTATAATTTAATTAAATATTTAAATGTTACCATTTATAAAATTTCCATTATTATGTTGTCTTAATTAAGATTCATTATAACTTTCATATTTAATAGAAAATAATGCAAATGACCAATATACCCTTAATGATTAAATTTAATTAGAAAAAATAGAATTTTCCTATTGATCGAAATAAGTTTACACGGTTTCTAAGAATTGCATGGTTTTCATTTGAACGTGCCTATATAATATATATATATATATATATATATATATATATTATATAGGGTCAAGTTCAAATGTTAACCAAAGTTTTTGTGTTAACTTTGTTAACCGATATTGGCCATTCAATCTTTCAATAAACGGTTGTGATTAATCATGATAAAAAACTTATTTTGTTAAATTTAAAATTTCATAAAGATAAGTGAACAAAGTTGAAAAGATTATTTAGGTAAAAAAAATTATGTAACTCCCATATCATTTAATTGGGAGTTACAAAATCAAAAAATTCTATGATTTTTTTGTTAATTTATTTTTGTTAATGTAAGAACCATATGAACACAACTACATATATATGAATCATTGTATTAAATACGAACAAAATTTTGACATATATATGAACTTGGATTGCATACCATTTATGAACACAATAAGAACATAATAACAATAATTGCTATACGAAAGGAAATAAATAAATAAAACAGGTATGAACACATATAAACAGCTTCTGAACAATAGTTTCTTCATTATAAACACATTCAGAAGCGATCCTTTGTCAATTGGAGTTTTATACATGCATTGCATCCACACTGTTTAAGGTTCACCCTTTGTTCATATATGTTTCTGGTCTTATGTGGTTGTTCACCCCTTGTTCATATCGTGTTCACCCCTTGTTCATATCGTATAAAATATATGAACACATAACACCAACGTTATGAACACCGGGTGCAAACACTTACACAAATATAAAGATTTGGTATCAAGCTTAAAAAATAACACTTGTGTTCATATGATAGAAAGTAACATGAACACAATGGTTCATGATTCATAAAAGTCGGTAATATGACAATATGAAAATGGGTCGTGCATGTACTTCCATTTGAACATGTGAATTAGGTACGTGTTAATAATCAAAGAAAAAAGTTATCAACGCAATATGAACTACAAAAAACACAACACATCATAATGAACATAATTTCGATTAAAACGAGTCTAATAAAATATTAATCCATTACCAAGGCATTCGCTCCCGGACTCAAACTCCGATTGTCACCATAAACCATTTTAATCTTCTCAATGTTGTCGATTTTTTTCCAATGCGCTTATTCATAATAGCTTAAATGATACCGAAGATTTTACTATCGTGTTTTCTCCACGAATCAAAAACTCATAAATAATAAAAATGGAAGATCAAAATTAAAAAAATAAATAAAAATATCAGTATTATAAATGCATATTTTTAGAGATATTTTATTATTTTGTAACTCTCCTTTAATGGTATGGGAGTTATATAGCAAATGAAATTACTCAATTACCATTGGCATTAAATTGTGAACACGATCTTGTCCCTATATATATATATATATATATATATATATATA